GTATATCAATCAATCCAGGAGGGCGGGGTGTATCTCCCTTCAGCTTCGCAAGCCCACATTAAATTAATAGCTAAAAAAGATAAAGACCCATCTGATCCCGGTTCTTATCGTCCGATCTCACTTCTTAACCTAGATGCAAAGATCCTTTTCTAAAATAATTGCCAACAACAGCAAATAATTAATTGCTATTCTACCTTCTCTTATTCACCCATCTCAAGCAGGTTTTATAAAGGGGCGCTCGACCACGTCAAACTTCCACAAAGTGCTCACAGTTTTACAACAAGCTAAAAACAACCCACTTCAGCATCTAGCAATTATTTCCTTTGACGCTGAAAAAGCCTTTGATTATGTTAGTTTTCAATAGCTACATTTAGCTTTGCTTAACTTTGTTTTTTCCGGACCATTTACGAATTTAATTCAGGCTATGTACTCAGCCCCAGTGGCTCAGGTGGTAGCTGCGGGATAAATAGCTAACCCTATTCTACTCCATAAGGGAACAAGGCAGGGTTGTCCTTTATCCTCCCTGCTTTTCAATTTAGCTTTGGAATCATTAGCCCGCTTCCTGCTATTCAAATCACAACTTCATGGCATCCAAATTGCCCAACAAGATCTACGCCGAGCCTTATTTGCTGATGACATATTTAATATTCACATCCAATCCGACTCTAGATTTACCATACATCCAGACCATTTTCTCAGATTTTCAGTGTTGCTCAGGCCTTCGCATTGATTTTGCGAAAAGTGAAGTTCTCCCCCCTATACCATGCTCGTAATCCTGTTTGGGCCTGCGACTCCATTTTCAAAATTAACACAAATCATATCACCTATCTAGGTATCAAATTTGGGAAATTAGCCTTGTCTCTTTACTCTCTTAATTATTCACCAGTAATACAAAAATTCTTAGGGGAGTTAGAAATGTGGAAAGACCTGCCGTTATCACTCATGGGAAGAGCTCACCTCTTTAAGATGGTGAGCTTCCCGAAGCTCTTATATCCACTCCAAACTATCCCTCGCCTGCTTAAACATACGGATATAGTCAAGTTAAACAAAGCAATCTCCAGCTTCCTATGGAAAGGGCGCAGCCCGCGTATAGCTTTTCATAAATTGTTTCTCCCTAGATGTGACGGTGGAATGGGCCTCCCTAACATTAGAATTTATAATCTATCTTGCATTTTACGTGTTTTTATATAGATTGGCTCTCCCAATCGTCCGTGTTTTCCATTTATCTACTTGAATCTGCCATGGTGTGTTCATTTGATCTTTCGGCCCTTTTACATTCCAACTCCAATTCACTTCCTTTACACCTCAAACACAATCCACTCATACGGAACACGCTCATCACCTGGAGGCAGGTCAGACGTAGACTAGGAGTTCCTCACTGATTATCTTGATTCCTTCCTATTCATCACAATCCTTCTTTTTCTGGTTCTCAACATCATGCAGCATATGAAATGTGGTATACCCAGGGTCTTAGACTTGTTAGCCAATTGTATGACTCCGCATCAGGCTCTCCCTTTCCGCTCCAACAAGTTCATTCAGTGTGCCTTCCCATCATTTCTTGTACATCTTACAAGTCAGGAATTTTGTGAACTCTATAGCTCCAATTAGATCTACTCGCTTCTGCACAACCATGATAGAAGTTCTTGTAAGGAATCAAAAATACAAAATATCTAATATTTATGGCCAACTAAACATGCACTATGCAAAACCACTAGAATCCTCTACCTCCATCAAATCGTGGATACAAGACTTTGACAATGCTATCACTGCGGAGCAAATCCTCACTGGCTTTAACACTACCTGTGCATTCAATACAAACAAAGTTTGGCAGGAGCAGCAATTCAAAATTATGCATCATGCTTATATGCCTTGTTTGTACACACAAACAGATTCTTCGGTTTCTACTTGCCCGTTCTGTGGAACTCACAGGCCGTCACTGCACCATAGATTTTGGCTCTGCACACCAGTCTCTACCTTCTGGAACCAACTTTTGAATTTCATACTCTTCATCACTACTCTACAGTTACCTAAAGACCCGCTGCTTCTTCTCTTTGGCAACTTGGAAGCTTCCCTGTCTACTACTTCACACATGCAACTTGCTCTGTTCAGAGCTACTAAACCCTGGCTTTCCACCTGCCTGATGGCTGCGAGGAGGTCTATCTTAAAAAAATGGGTCTCCAACTACCCTCCTAGCATCTCGGATGTCAAACAGGACGTAAAATTTCTACTTCGTCTGGATCGGCTCAGCACATATACCTCTCCTTCCATGCATGGAGCGGAAAAGTACACCCAAAAGTTCGGTCAATATATCTCGAGAGTATTTCCTACTTTTTAGCCTCAGTCCTCCCCACAGGGTTCTCTAATTTAGGCACGGGCTTCCTTCTGTTATTTCCTGATGCACTGTGATATTTGTGTATGAGGGCAAATATATGTTATACTACTCTTGCTGTGCTCCTTTTTGACTATTCCTTTACTATTACTAAGCTCTGCCTTCCTTTTACCTTTTTCGCTCTACCCTCTTTCGCTCTACCCTCTTTCACTCCTCTCTACTGATAGCTGGTGAAGAGCTCTTTTACTGTCACACTCTAACACATACCGATGCGCTGCATCCTAACGGCCTAATTTCTGTGTCATGACATGATCTCTCGGTCTTATAGCCTCTGATCTTCAATAACATAACCTTATGCTCTCTGTTTCTTTTTCTGATGCTATCTCCTTTTCTATGCTGGATCCCCCCAGCTCTTTGATCATACTTTCTTCCTGATCTATTCCTATCTTATTTTCTTTTTCTTCTTTTGATCTTTTACCCATATACACGACTATCAACCTCTTTGGTCATATTGACAAATGGTCAACATTCGATTACATCTGCATATTTTTTTTTTTCTTTATACTTACAAACTCATCTTCGCGTACTACTCCACACCCTGACTACTTCCATCTTAGCCCTTACATACTGGTACATTGTATAATGCCACTCCTCATATAAGACTATTCTCCTCTATGCAACTCATTCTGATTCCTTCTCGCCTCATCGGGGCTTTAGAAATATAATTATAATTGGTAATCACCTGAATTATCACCTGCTTTGGCATATTGCCAAAGTTGGTTGATGTTATGTGTACAATAAAAACCAATAAAGATTTCTTTAAAAAAAAAAAGAGACATTAGAGGTCTGTTTAGAACCCCTGATGTCTCTACAATGCCCCCACCCCCCCAAAAAAAATGTAAAAAAAATTTTAAAAATAAAAATTAATGTACCTCTACAAAAAAAATTAAGCTGTAAAAAATTAAAGATTAAAAAAATTAGTAAGGGTAGATTTGGACATGTGTCTAAATCTCCCTTGCTTCTGAAGCATGACGGCCCTGTCCATTGCCTATTGCAACTAAAGGGGGGCAATTGGCAGGCAGCAAAAATGCAACTCAGTCGCGCATTTTGCCACCCCCAACCACAAGTCTAAACAGGGCCAAAGGCCTTGTTCATGCAGGGCTTAATATAGCAAGGCCATATTTAGCTGCACGCGGATGCACAGGTGTTCCGGGCATCCCCATACAGACAGTCCCATTGATGTAATTTGGGGCGCAGCGGTTGCACAGGAATGAACAGGTGTTCCATGCATTCCTGTGCAGTCAGTCCCATCCATATCAATTGGGACACAGTGGCTGCATCAAGACACTGCTTCCAAACTTGACATATGGGTGTGTGTCCCTGAACTCAGACCATCTGCATATGAGTACGTTCGATTTTCACCATTGCACAAAAATGGCACAATTTAAAATTGACAAATATTTGTTAATTATTGACGCAATACAGGTTAAGCTTTTATATTTAGTAGGAATTTAGCAAGCATTTTGTAAAATTTGCTGTGTTTTTATCTGCTAATAGTGATTTTAGTGTATTTTCAGCAAAAATATTGCTTTAATTTGCGCAAATATCGTGGAGCGTTAAAAATCAGTAGCACCTTCTTTTTATGCTGCTGATTATGTGCTTTCAGAAAAGAAATGGTTTGGGGAGTCTTTTAAAAACTCTGAAAGCCGTAAGGTAAAAATAAAAAAGCAATGGAAAAATGACAAAAATGGTCTGGCCAGCTGGGTTAAAAAGTGGAGCACAGGGCCTGGCAGCAAAAGGGTTAAATAATAAAAGGCAGAGGGGTCATTGTTGGCATTACAACATTACAAGGAATGCAATAAGAAGAGTAAGAACGCTAGCAGGGCAGCTATAATAGACCACAAGGGACACACGAAAGAGATTAGTAAAGAAAAAAGATCCCCCCCCCAATTTTTTAAACATAATAATAGTAAGAAAGTGAGCAGAATATTAGCATGCATTAAAAAGTGTATTTACTCATGATAAAACAATAATCCTGCCACTTTATAAAATTTGGCCACATCTTGAGTATGCCATCCAGTTCTGGTCGCCAATCCTCAGGAAGGATGTGCTGGAACTGGAGAGAATCCTGAAAAGGGCAACAAAGGGGACTGGAGAACCTCAGTTATGTGACTACAAACTTAAAGCCTATTCTCCGTGGAGCAGAGATGCTTGAGAGGAGATATGATAGCAATATAATACCTCAATAATTATTCTAGCATAGAGAAAAACAATTTTGTTTCAAGGAGCTTAAGAAGACGCAGCCACTCAGTGAAATTGGAGGAGAAAATGTAAATACAGTATATTACGATTACTTATGTACGCACTGAGTTAACTACCTAGTTTTCCTTCCTTTCCTAAAACTGCTCCGGTTGACTTGTATCTCTTGCTTTAAAGGTATCCATTCTTGCATGTGTCACAAAAAGAGGTCAAAAGCAATTTGGGCACTGCAGGTGCTCAGCAGTATGCAAACTCATAGCAATGCGTATAAATAAACTGACTCTTTCAAAAATCTTTTTTTTCTGATTAAAATGTCTACCATTATTTATACTTTAGGGTTCAGTAATATAACCAAAACTGAAACTGTGAACTGAAAGAAAATAAAAAATTGCTTTGTTTGTTCTTCCCAGCTACTTTACGGAGAATTGATCTGACTGGAAATGTTATAGAAGAAATAGAAGAAAAAGCTTTTGAAAAACTTGTCTTACTTGAGCAGCTTTCTCTTGCTGAAAACAAACTGACCAGGATTCCAGTCTTGCCAACTAAACTAACCTCCTTCAATGCCAATAATAACCTTATCAAAAGCAAAGCAATCAAAGTAAATTCATTTAAGGTAACATCCAAATCATTAATACATACATGGTCATACAACTGCACTACTATTATTAACTTATTCGTCCTTTGATTGCCATGACATCTTTGGCAGTCAAAAGGGTAAATCACCTAAATACATTTCAGGTTCATTACACTTAATCCTGGTACACATGATAAGTTTTTTTTTTTTTTTTTTGGGCAATCCAGCAGGGCTGCCGTTCAAAATGTGTTCAACAAAAAGCTGCCATGGTAGAAATGTCTGTCCCTTGCAAGCTCACTCCAGAAAAGGACCCTTGTACGCTGTGTTGAAACAGAGATTTCATTATAGAGGTACTTACTGGTAATCACCCTGCACATTAAAATAAAAGTTCACCTTTTGCTAAAGAATAATAAATGCACATTTTTTGCAGCTCAAAAAATTTTAATTTATTATTTTTGCTTGCAGGAGCCTGTAAAGCATTGGACCAGTGATCAGCCATTCGCTGGTGCCATGCAGGTCTCCTGCATGGCATTGGGATGGACGGCAAGCAGATATACTGACAGAAAGAATCAATGAACTACCATGGCACTCCACAGCACCGTGGTAGTTCCTTAAGAAGTACAAGTCGATAGCCGCTAAGACTGTTGGGACTTGTTGTTTCTCATTCACAGAGGACTGTAAATGAGTAACGCAACCGGGTGGCTGCGTTATTTAAAAAATGTTGACAGCTGGTGGAAGGAGAAGATCTCCCGCTAGTTGTCAAAGCGGGGGAGCGGAGGCCGGTCTATTCATAACATGAATACAGGTGTAACATTGCATGAAAGGTGAACTTATCCTTTAACCACTTGGTAACTGTGCTATAGCCAAATGATGGCTACAGCGCGGTTACCCAGTTCTGGGAGGGCAGCATATGACATCCTCTCAGAACACGCCCTCCTGAGTGCCCCCACGGGCTTTCACCCGGCGATCTCCGTGATCGGTGTGTCCTATGGACACAGCTGATCACATGATGAGGTAGAAGGCCAATCACAGCAACCTTTTACCATGTGACCAGCTGTGTCCAATGACACAGCAGATCACGGAGTAAATACAATTGCCGGTTATCGGTAGCACTCTCATCACGCTGTCACATAATCGGCAGCTGTCACCGAGGAGATCGGCACTCATCGGCACTGATCATTGGCACTGATCAGCAGTGCCACCCATCAGTGCAGCATCAGCAGTGCCTCCTCATCAATGCCCAGCAGTGCCACCTACCATTGCCCATCAGTGCTGTCTATCCGTGCCACCTCATAATTTTTGCCTATCAGTTCAGCGCCATCAACGCACATCAGTGAATAAGAAAAATTAATTGTTTGAAAAATTTTATATTAGAAACAAAGAAAGACATTTATTTTTGCGCTATAGACAAAAAAAGAGCAAAAAAAGAGCAGAAAAAAACACCCAGTGGCGATTAAATACCACCAAAAGAAAGCTCTATCTGTGTGAAAAAAAATTATAAAAATTTCATGAGTACAATGTTGCATGACCACGCAATTGCCATTCAAATGCGACAGCACTGAAAGCTGAAAATTGGCCTGGGCATGAAGGGGGTATAAGTGCCCAGTAGGCAAGTGGTTAAGACATATAGATCCGCAATCAGCCAAGCTCATGCACCCTGCTGAACAGAAAGCTCTAGCTCTGATCCAGCAGTTCTCATTTTAAAAGGCAATCCAACTCACTAAGAAAAACACCTCTGACATGTCTACATTGCATAGCACAGTTAAGCAATAATGTGTTGTGGTGAGCTGCATCAGGAAAAAGTGTGCAGGTACGTTGTGGTGTGTTGGCAGCCCATTGAAGTTAACCCACCGCACTGGACTGGTGAGGTTTTAATCAGGCTTTAGACTTTGAACACCTTTGGTTTGATGCATCTTGAATGTATTCATCAGATTTAAACTGAAAGTTCAGTTGGGCTTTAAAGCAGAACTACAGCCCATTGGGTGGGTTCTTGCCATAATGTTCATAGAATACTTGTGTTACGGCACACTTGCCATACACAGTGCCCTCTTTCAGCATTGATATTGCAAGTTCGCAATACACATTCACATCTACTGAGTTCCACTTTGCTCCTCCTTAGTCATTGGGCAGCCACTGATGTATGTGCACATGAGTTGCATTGTTCCTGACACCTGGTTCCATTTTCAGAATCTTCCAAAATTTCTAGGGGGAATATTTTTGCTTTATTTTTTTTTCAAAAGAGAGTTTGCATTTCTCATCTGCCAAAAAAACCCCTAATAAATTATAAGTGTAAAATGTCTCTAAAGGCAAGTTTACACTTGTGGTTGTGGGGTGGTGAAAGCATGTGGTTGAGCTGCAGTTTAACCTCTCCAACTTAACTGCAATGGCAGTGGCCAGGGGTGTACACATGGTGTGGCCATGACATCCAGTAAACTCCCTATCCCTATGGTTGCAATCATGTGTCATAGTAATAAATAACCCACTTTACCTGCACTCAGCTGAGCTCATATAAAAAAAAACCCCTTATACTTCTGTTATCATGAAATAAACACTGTCTAAATAAATGAAATCTATTAATAATCAAGTCTCATAAAACGATGATTCGAATCCAAGAGAGAATGTCCTCTACATCACCACACAATAACAACTATGGAAATAGGTAGATGATACATTAAATAGAAATATATGATCCACTTTTGTATTGAGGTCAGGCTAGCATTTTAACCACTTCATGTCCGGAGACTTTTACCCCCTTCCTGTCCAGTCCAATTTTAAGCTTGCAGTGCTATCACACTTTGAATGACAATTGTGCGGTCATGCAACATTGTACCCATATTAATTTTTTAGCATTTTTTTAAAACAGATAAAACTTTATTTTGGTGGTATTTATTCACCAGCTGGATTTTTATTTTTTTTGCTACATAAATGAAAGTCCAAAAATTTTGAAAAAAAGTGTTTTTCTTATAAGATTTTGCAAATAAATAATCTTTCTTCATAAATCTTGGCCACAATTTATTCAGTTATCTTTTTAGTAAAAAGAAATAACCCAGATTAGTTTATAACCAAAAATTATAATTTTTCAAAAACATTTTTTTACATTTTTATTTTATTTTTTTTATATTATTATTTATGGTTTTTTTAACGTACTGTCACCCTAGCAGTACAATGTTACCATAGTAGCACTGTACTACTTGTGGGGAGTGATGAAGATTTTTTTTTTTACACTGATTGCTTTTATACCCATAAAGGCTGTAAAAGCAATAATTTCTCCTTCTCTCTGGCTGCATTTTTGAAGCCATTGAAAAATACTGTGCGAGCTGTGATTGGTCACAGCTTGTCACATGGTACAAGGCTGTTGTGAATAGCCCTGTACTATGTGACCTCTGTGATCATTCACAGATTTCAGACGTAGTAAGCAATGATGTCAGAAGTTACATCTTGCTTACACCTAATCATGTGATCACTGATTGGCCAATCAGTGATCACATGATCAGGACCTCACGCAGAGATCTCGTACAGCGATCGGTGTCCCGCTGTGTCCAAAAGCGCGCACAGTACAAAATGACGGGTGCCGTTTATGAACGGCAACTTGCCCTTGCACTGCCACTGTCCGGCCATTTACAAACAACGGCCGGACGGGAAGTGGTTAATGCAAGTCCCCTCTAGTCAGCTCCAGTTTCTTCACATGAAACAGCACTTTCAGTATATTTTCCTCCACTTTATCCTTAGGACCAGTTAAAAAGTCAAAAACAAGGAAAAGATTATCATGCAGTGCGTTTAAACCCAACTTTCAAACACATGTATATTGTACACTTACACCATTCCTGACATCCTGTGGAAGTCACATGGCGAAACACAAGTTGAACGGAAGTGATGTCACGTTGAAACCAGAAGTGGTGTATTTCATAGTGTTTTAAAAGGGCTCTGCTAATTTTACCTGTTTATAAGTAAACAAGAAACAAACCATGAAGGGCCCCCTGATCCCTGGCTGTGCCCTTCCTTCTGAGCCGGTTGGTGGAACTCCAGGGCCTGGTTGCATGTATGACCTTTGTGACCCCTGTAGTAACACTGGTATCAGCAGTTTATTTTTGTTGGGGTTTTTTTTTTTTTTTCTACATTATTATTTTTTACAATCTTTTTTAGGAGTTTTGGTGATATATCAGGGGTCTGAATAGATCTCTGATGTTCCACCTGAGAGACAGGGAAAGGGGACTGAGGACTTAGCTCTCAAGGAGGGGAACCCGACAGAGCTATGGGGGACGGGAAAGAGCACAGGGGGCTGGAAAGTACATGGGGGGGGCAGCAGAAGAAAGTTGCATAGTAGGAACAGCGGCTGCATATAGAGCAAAAAATCTCTCCATTTGCCTCCTGCAGCCACTGAATGCCAGCTCCTCCTCCTCCCTCCTCCTCCTCTCACTACCTCAGGCATGGAGAGGCAGGAAAGAGGAAAATTGAGAGATTGATTCCTCTTTATGCAGCCACCCCTACCACTCCTCCTATCCAGGCATACAGGCAGGGTCAGAGCAAGGATTTTGCTTACACAGGCAAAAGTGCATTTTGCAGGCATCCCCCCCATCTTCAGCCACCCTGCGCTTGTGCTGCTGTCCAACCACCCTCCAGTCTTCCAGCTACCCCATGCTGATACTACTGTACCTCCCCATTCTCCAGTCATCCTGTACTGGTACTGCTAGACCCCCCTGTCCTTCAGCCACCCCGCACTGATACCACTGTACCTCTCAGCCTCCAGCCAAACTGCTGTATCCCCCCAACTTCCAGTGACCCTTTGCTGGTACTGCTAGACCCCCCTCTGTCCTCCAGCCACCCCATGCTGGTACTACTGTACTCCCTTCCCCGGAATACAGCAACCACGCTAGTACACCCCCAATCCCCAAGTGGCTGGGGATTTCACTTCCCCCTCCCCCATCATGGCACCCTAGGGTGGCTGACACCAGCCCTGCCAGCCTACATGGTCTGGAGATGGGGTTCCTGTCCCCCGGGAAGATGGGGTCCCTGACCCCAGGGGAGATGGAGTCCCTTTACCTAGGCAAGATGGGGTCCCTTTTCCTTGGGGAGATGGGGTCCCTTTCCCCAGGGGAGATGGGGTCCCTTTCTCCATGGGAGATGGGGTCACTGTCCCCAGGAAAAATGGAGTGGGGTATGAGATGGTGTATGGAGGAGATGTGTTTGTCTCACTCACCATGACTAAGCTACAGGATCAGGTTGATGGAGCGCAGGTACTAATAGGAGTCATACAATGCTGCATTTGGCCACCCTCCAAGCACTCATCCATGGTCGTCTGGGCTCCCTCCAGCAGCAGCCCAGACAGGGCATTCAATTGGCATGAGATGCCACATCCTCCGCTCCATAGGCTCTCCGTAGGAGATCTGTGTATGACGAGGGGAACAGGGTGGCGGGGGCTTGGAGATGAGCCTGCAGTGTCCTCCGGGGAGCTGGCTTCCATAGGACTGCTGCACCTGTGTGCTAGAAGTTCATTTGCCTGTGTGAGGTGTTTTCACTAGAGGGCTCTGTGCGAAGGAAGGGATGGAGGTGAGTCAGGGGTCCCCGGGAGTCTTGCTGGGGGGGGGGGGGGGAATGATACTGAACTAAGCATCACTCTATTGGGCAGGAGAGAGGGGCCAGCCAAGGACACAGGTGGGAAATGTGAAAATGCCAGTGCGGAAGGGCCGGGAGCTCTGCTACCTACCCCTGTCCACCAGCCACCCGGGCTAGTATTGCTACACATTAGCCATCCAGCTGTCCTGCAGCCGGGTCCTCATTGTGACCCCTTTAGCTACACCTCTGTTTTAATATAAATACTACACCATTGGAGTTTTCTTTTTTGTGCATTGAACTAAAAGGACCAAATCTGAGGAAATGAACCTCTGGGACTTGTGGAACAAGAGGACTCTTTAACATAAAGAGGGGCACGCCAAAAGGACACTGATTGGGTCACTACTATTAGGACACTTTTGGTAATCCTTTGTGCACTTTTAAAGGATACGTTCACCACTGCGAACATGTTATATAGGGGGAACATGTAACATGTTCCTGATCCTGCAGCCACTGCCCCCCCCCCCCCCCCCGTGACAGAAGTACGGGGAGAAGCTTCCCATACCAACTGTCACTTTTTAAAAAGAGCGCTGCCGTGCAGGGCTCAGGCTACATGTCTGCACCATTCATTCACAGTCCTATGTGAATGAATGGACTACAGGTCCCAACAGCCTTAGCAGCTAATGGCTTGTAGTCCTCAATGAACTACCACGGCGCTGTACTTCCTGTCAGAAGTATCGGATTTTTCGTACGTGATGTATGAGCAAGCAGATACATTGACAGTCTGCAGGAGACCCACATGGCACCAGTGATCTGCTGATCGCTGATGCAATGCTTTAGAGCATGGGTGTCAAATATGAGTGTCAGCCCTCCAGCTGTTGCCAAACTACAAGTCCCATGAGGCATTGCAAGATTGACAGTTGCAAGCATGACTGCCAAAGGCAAAGGCATGATGGGACTTGTAGTTTTGCAACAGCTGGAGGGCCGCCAGTTTGACACCCCTGCTTTAGAGGGTCCTAACACAAAAAAATAATAAATGCACATTTTTTTACTTGCGAAAAAGTGCATTTATTATTTTTTGTGGAAACTTGAATTTATCCTATAACATGACCTATAACATGTAAAGGGATAGCTCAGTGAAACTGCACAAGCTTCCACACAGGTGATCAGTAATCTTAAAAGGATGGTGTGTGTGGATTATTATTATGTGTACATTATGCATGCATTTGGAAGTTGGGTTTAAACATACTGCACAATAATCATTTTATTGTTTTTGGCTTATACACTGGTCCTGAGGATAAAGTGGAGGAAGATATACTGGAGGTGCTGTTATATGTACAGTATAGCACTCACTTCCACAGGAGCCAGCTGATTAGGTCCCTAAGGTCTTTCCCCATAGTTGCACCCGCAGTCAGGCACGCAGTCACTACTTTGGCTCAGTAAACAATCTATGGATATGCTTTTCTGATGCTTTATTGCAGAACTTGAACTTGGATAGGAGTAGGTTAACTGTGGGGTACTGCAGCAACGTTAGGCAGAAATTTGAGTACAGTAATCTTTCTCCTAAGAATCTGAGCACAGCCCTTGCTTGCAGCAAATACTGGGCTGAGATATACCAAGACACCATAGATAATGTCCAATTTGAGCAGCACTGACTCTAGCACAAGAGAAACAGTAGTAGCACACAGTCTCAGGGATCTCTCACACTGGACTGTACTTACTAATGTCCTTGGATAATTTGATGCCTCTTTCAAGTACATTCCAGATACCTAGCTTATGATCCCATACCAGACCTTCAAAGACAGCCCCTCAGCCAACTGCAACAGATTTCAGCAGAATAGCCTCTCCCCGCTAGCCTACTTGGGGCTTAAATAAGCAACAGACACATGGCAGGTCTGCGCAGAAGAACAGAAGCCCTCTAGGCTGGGATCCCCTCCTCTAGAACAAGAACCCCTCCTGTTCAAAGCCCCAGGCCATTTATGCTCACTCCCAGCCACCATCTGGGCATCTCCCCCCAGGGATTGGCCAAGGCTGCTTAAATATTCAGCTGCTGATTTGACTGTCCCAGCCTGCTATCTTCCAGAACCTTTCCAGACAGACAGACAGACAGGGGGAAGCAGTCAACCCTGCAGCCAGGGAAACACAGAGCAGACCAAAATAATAACAGGCAGCTCAACTGTTTACAGTGAGCCAGTAATCAAATGTACCTAACCTAGCACCTATCTAGGATGGTGCTACACATGTGAAGGAACTGAAACTTACTGGAGGGGACTGTTAAAAATGCTAGGTTGACCTGCATTAAAAAGTGGGTCATATATTTCTGGTGAGGATTTCATCTACGTAGATTTTTGGCATTAGAGAACACAGGAGTTATATTGTGGTGATAAAAGGGAAAATGTCTTTTGGATTCGAATCATCATATTATGGGACTTGGTTATTATTGTATTTTACCTATTTAGACATTGTATTTCATGACAAGAGAAGTAGTATAAAGATTTTTAGTGCTGTTTTTTGGATTCTTAGGTGTCACGGAAATGCAGCAATTAGGGGGTAAAAACAGGTGGTGAGGAGGCAACATATCTCCTCCTCCCTGCCTGTCAAATTTCTCTGAAATGTGATCTGAGCACAAATCGCATTTTAGAAAAGCCTTGCCACATGTGTAAACAAGGTCTTAGTGCTCTTTCACACAGGAGATGAATTTTAGCATACTATTTATTGCTCATTAATGCAACCATACTCTTAATGAGCATATCGGATGTGTTGCACAAGCATTTAAGCCACATCAGGCGATGCCCTTGAAACACCCTGTGATTTTTTTTTATTACAAAGCTAAAATGGGAAATGATTACTTTTTGATTCTTTACAACCTTGTCCTAAAGGCACCATAGGTGTGTTATATTGTTCACAGCCTGCTTGAAGTGCATTTCAACAGAAGTAATTGGAGGTGTTGCAAAGTGTCAACACCTGCCAACCACTGCAGGCAGCATTATTTTATTTTTGCCTCACCAAGATTTGAGGCAACGATAACCCCTGTAGTATGTATGCCTTCATCCACTCCTAATTTTAACAATTTTGAGTGGTTTTGATGGGTAAATACACCACCCAGCCGCCTACTTGCAACAACAGTGTGAAAAAGCCCTAAGAGAGACTTGTACCAACTGAACAAATGATCTCACCTTGGACTGAAGGTTCAATGATATTCACAGAAAATGTATGTATGTAAGTTATAGGGGTCAACACATTCTTCAGAGTTCAGACCTCACTTTTAGCCCCCTTTCACAAGCTGCAATGCATGACAATAAAAAAAAAAAACACAATATTGATAAGGTGCATGTGCTTCTTTTGGTTCTACACAGTGAATTTTTTACCCCATAGACTTCAATGGGAGTGCATGAAAAATTCACGCACATGCTTTGTTTTGGCGCAGTTTTGTGCTTGGCATCCATTCTCCTCCTAGCAATAATGGTGTCACAGCAAATATTGCTAGATATGGGCCAAAACCAGAGTGCATGAAGCATAAGAATTCATGAAAATGCAAAAAAAAAACGCACTGCAAGACTGCACTGAAACATGCATGATAATGTGTGAACCTAGGCATAAGGTTAAAGCATTAGATCATGGTAAAGCAGCATGCAAGTGAAGGGAGAGAACAAAAGGGGAAATTTTGTTCTTATGACTTTCCAAGGACATGTTTTTTGTTGTGCTAATGCAAATAATAACTATAGTTTTGTTTTGTTGCCACAGAAGCTGACTAACTTAGCTTATCTCTATCTGGCTAACAATCATCTGGACAGTGTGCCACCAAATCTGCCTGAAAGCCTTCGGGTCATTCATCTCCAGGTTTGTATACCCTTATGACTACATCTCTAGGTTTATATATCCTTATGATTACAAAACTCCAAAAACTGGACAATGTAGACGTAAATGGACGTAAATTGTTGCATGTCTCTGGAACAACATTATGAGCATTTTTCACAACATGGTTTGTCACTTATGTTCCTCTGTGCCATTATTCCCTCCAGTGCCCATCTTGCTCCTCTGATCACCAGTTTTTCTCTCTTATTGACCCTCAGTCCTATCCTATCCTATCACCTGTGTTATCCAAAAATCCAGCATACCTATAACTGTGGCTTCCACATGTACTGCAGCTATCTGCTTCCCAGCACCTGTGTGATTTCCTGTGAGTTTCAGCCAGCCACCTGAGCCAACAGTTTCGTGCTCTGTGTCCCAAGTCCCACTTAGAGATGTGCATGATGAAAAAAATTAGTTTTATTTCATTTTAGATTCATTCATTAAGTCAATTATTTTTTTTGTTCCATAAACGTTTTATTTAAGTAATAACACACATTATATCACATTAGGCAACAATGATATGCAGAGAAAAAAAGCATAAGACATACATGGAGCAAACACATGAGGAATGTGAGTATTGTCGAAAGTAACTGCAGGGACTGGTAGCAACACCCCTCAATGTTTGCCACATCCTGAGCTAACAGCTCCCAAAATCAATACTGGGCTAATTGCCTAAAGAAAAATTCCTTACAGAAAAACAAAGTAAAGAGGATAAAGATCACAAAAAAATAAACAGGAAGTAAAAAAAGAATAGAAAATAGAAAAAAAGGGGGGTGGGGGAGGGGTATCAGCCTTTTCTTACTAACTCCACCCTCAAATAGAGGAGGGAAGTACAGAAGTAGTATCACCTACCACTTCAGGAGAATAATACTCCCAAAAACAATCATATTGGAAGCATCTGAGTCAGCTTTACACTCCCATATAGTTCTTGTAATCAGCAATGTTCTTGAAATCCAGCCAACAAGACCATGTAGATGCAAACTTACACAACCTATCTTGTGAAATATGTATCAGCTCTTCCATCTCCTCCATGTTATTAATCCTGCGGAATCACTTGCATATTGTGGGAACCATGGAGGAAACCCAATGGCAAGATGTGCATTGTTTGGCAGCATTGACCATGAACATCACTAGAGATTTATTGTACTACTCTTTTCTAGTCCGAGAGGAATGATGGAGCAAAAATTGAGCTGGAATATAGTCCAACTTAATTGAGGTGACTTTAGTAATAATGTCGTTTTACAAGTTTCCAGAAGGGCTGAGGATTGGTGTACATCCAATATATGTGGATCATGGATCCTACATCTCTATCACAGCGACAGCACAAGTTTGAAACTGATGGGTAAAACTTGTGAAGTGAAGAAGGTATGCGGTACTAACATGAAAAATGTTATACCCATTTTCTTGTAATGCAACATTTAGTGAACCCTTATGTATTTAGGTGCACATAGACTCCCAGTCCTTAGTTGTAAAGGTTTGATTCAATTCACAATCCCACATCTGGCAAGATGAAGACATGAATGCAAGAACGTGTCTTGAAGGGATGTGTAGAGTGGAGATTACATGACGTTGAGATGTTTGCGAATACATATACTCTCCAGTACAGTCTAAGATCTAGACCACATTGTCATAAGGCCCTGTGAAGTCAGAAAATTATGGATTTGTAGATACGTCCAATGTGGTATCATATAAGGTTTCACCAACTCGATAAGAGACTCCCAGGTCATGATGGACCCCCTGCAGAAAAAGTGCCTAGCGATAACTTTGCTGTGAGGTTAGCCTTCCCTCAAAAAGGCTTTGGACATGCCAGGTGGGAAGGAAGGAATGAATTGTAGGGGAGTCGAGAAAACAATATGTACCAATCCTTTTGACGGTAAAAAGGCTTGTGAAACATTTGCAAAGATGGACCTATTAAGGGGTGTGTTTTGGCCTCCACAGGTATCAAATGAGGTTGAAGCCAAAATAAACGATACAAAGGTAATGAGGTCTGAGAGTGTTCAAGGATGACCCAGGCCTTTGTATTATTATGATCTGACCAGTCTACCAGATGAGCCAGTAAACAAGCTCTATGGTAACCAGATAGGTCAGGAAGGACTATGCCACCTTATGTTTAGGAAGAGTAAGGCAGGAAAATGTAATTGTGGGCGTTTTTTGATGCCAAATAAATTAGGTGCATGTTTTCCCGAACCTTGTGAAGAATGTCTGAAGTATCTAAATAGGTACCGTTTGCAAAATATACAGAACACGAAGAAGAACAGGAAGAAGCGCTGCTCTACCAAACCATGAAACATTAAGAGTTCCACCCACGCATATCTTTGCATATTTCCTCCAAAACTGTCAAATGGTTTTTGTGATAGAGTTCTGAGAAGTTGTATGGTATTTGAATACCCAAACAGGTCATAGCCTCTGAATGCTAGAGGAATGGGAAATTAGACTTGCATCTCTCAACCTCTTTACCACGGGAGGGTGATGTTAAGAGCTTGTAATTTGGCATAATTATTTTGAGATTGGAAATAGCCTTAAACTTTTCCAAGTCCCAAAGGAGGTTTGATAATGATGTGAGGGTCATAGAGAAACAAAAGCATGTTGTCTGCAAAATCGGCATATAGTGATAGTGATGGTGATAGTGGAAAACCCTGCTGCATGCCAGATTGCTCAAAGAGAATGCATCAGATAGGAGGGCATTGACATGAACCCTCGCATAGGGATTGGAGTACAAGGATTGGATGCTGTTGCACATCTTGGTTAGTAAACCTGTTGCTTGAAGAATCGCTGCTAGGTAATCCCATGCTATCCTATCAAACGCCTTCTCGGCATTGAGAGAAAAAAAAATCCTCATTTATTTTGGGAGCACAACTAGTAGTGGAGGTTCAAGGCTTTTACAGTGTTATCATGGCCTTCCCACGCCAGTATGAAGCCCACTTGGTCTAGAGAAATTAAAGAAGGTAGGAAGGGGAGCAACCTATTAGCCAGATTTTTCGCATAAAGCTGCATGTCCACATTTAGAAGAGAAATGGGATGATAGTTAGCGACTGTCTCATCTTTCCCTTCTTTCATTATCACAGTGATATGCGCCTCCAAAAGGTGTGGGGTTTGGGGGACGGAGAGCTCCAAGCCTCAAAAGGTGGCTAAAAACCTAGGTCTTAAAATGTCCAAAAAAGTCTTATAGTATTGGAGTGTAAGATCATCCGGGCCAAGGCTTTTGCCCGGCTTCATCTCTTTGAGTGCCTTATCAAGTTTTTCCGCTGTAATAGGTGCTTCAAGTTTTAAAGCCTCAGAGCAAAGAATAGAAAAAGGACCATACTGGGCTGAAAAGTCAGCTATCAACTTCCCTCTTGTAGAGTATGCTGAGAAGGTAGAAGAAGGGGCTTTGAGATTATACAAAGAACTATAAAAGTCCTCAAATTGTTTGGCAATAGCTTTGTTTGAACAATGGTTATTGCCTTGGACATCTTTAATGCAATGAACCCTCATCTTTCTTTTCTTAGCTTGAACTGCTCTGGCTAGTAAGCGGACACTTTTGTTTCCATATTCATAGAACACTTTTTGGTGTAGAATATATTGTCATTTGGACCTCTTACCCGGTTCATCAAGAAGTTGGAAGTCTAGCCTCTGTCAGTTCCGCAAGCACAGAAGCAGCCTGTGTTTGTGAGAAACCTCCAGCATATGTATCTGTGAGAATAAAGCGTTCACCTGAGCATGATGGGTTTTTTTTTGCTGCTGCAGATAATGAAAAAAACACCCCCTAATGACACATTTGTGTGCCCCCACTGAGTGAGGGGATCTATTTATGGAATGTCATTCATGATGAAAAAATCCCGTAGCTTTTCAGTGAGGTCATAGACTGTATCAACATCCCTAAGTAGTGAGGAATTAAGTCTCCACAATTTACAGTTGCAAGAAAAAGTATGTGAACCCCTTGGGATTATGTGGAGTTTTGCATGAATTGGGCAAAAAAAAAATGTGCTCTGAACGTCATCTAAGTCACAACAATAGAAGAACACAGTCTGCTGAACATAATACTACACAAACATTAGATGTTGCCATGGTTTAATTGCACATAACATGTAAACATTCACAGTGCAGGGAGGAAAAAGTATGTGAGGCCCTAGCTTAACGACTTCTCCCAGAGCTAATTGGAGCCAGGAGTGAGCCAACCTTGACTCCAATCAGTGTGATGATATTGGATGTGTTGCTGACAGCTGTCCTGCCCTTAAAAAACACACACCTGTTTTGGGTTTACTGGTTTCAAGAAGCACTGTCTGATGTGAACCATGCCTCGCAGAAAACCTACGATCAAGAATTGTTGACTTGCATGAAGCTGGAAAGGGTTACAAAAGTATCTCCAAAAGCCTTGATGTTCATGTGTCCACGGTAAGACAGACTGTCTACAAATGGAGAAAGTTTAGCACTGTTGCTACTCTCCCTAGGTGTGGTCGTCCTGTAAAAATGACTGCAAGAGCACAGCGCAGAATGCTACATGAGGTAAACAAGAATCCCAGAGTGTCAGCTAAAGACCTACAGAAATCTCTGGCACATGCTAACATTTTTGTTGACACATCTACAATAAGGAAAACATTAAACAAGAATGGAGTACATGGGAGGACACCACGGAGGAAGCCATTGCTGTCCAAAAAGAAGATTGCAGCACGTTTGAAGTTTGCAAAAGAGCACCTGGATGTTCCACAGCACTACTGGCAAAATATACTGTGGACAGATGAAACCAAGATTGAGTTGTTTGGGAAGAACACACAACACTATGTGTGGAGAAAAAAAAAAAAAAAAAAAGGTACAGCACACTAACATCAAAACTTTATCCCCACTGTAAAACATGGCGGAGGGAGCATCATGGTTTGGGGCTGCTTTGCTGCCTCAGGGCCTGGACGGATTGTTGTCATTGATGGGAAAATGAATTCCAGAGTTTATCAAGACGTTTTGCAGGAAAACGTACGACCATCTGTCCGCCAACTGAAGCTCCGCAGAGGATGGGTGATGCAACAGGACAATGACCCAAAGCAGACAAGTAATTCAACAAAACAATGGCTGCAACAGCACAGAATACGCCTTCTGGAGTGGCCCAGTCAGAGTCCTGACCTCAACCCGATTGAAATGCTGTGGCATGACCTTAAGAGAGCGATTCACACCAGACATCCCAAGAATATTGCTACACTGAAACAGTTTTGTGAAGAGGAGTGGTCCAAAATTACTCCAGATCGTTGTGCAGGTCTGATCTGCAACTACAGGAAACGTTTGGTTGAGGTTATTGCTGCCAAAGGAGGGTCAACCAGTTATTAAGTCCAAAGGTTCACATACTTTTTCCTCTCTGCACTGTGAATGTTTACATGTTATGTGCAATTAAACCATGGCAACATCTAATGTTTGTGTAGTATTATGTTCAGCAGACTGTGTTCTTCTATTGTTGTGACTTAGATGACGTTCAGATCACATTTTATGCCCAATTCATGCAAAACTCCACGTAATCCCAAGGGGTTCACATACAGTACTTTTTCTTGCAACTGTACTTCTGAATTCTTGCTCTGGAAATGCCAATGTGATTGTTATGGGATGATGGTCTGACAAGACCAAGGGTTCTATGGTTGCAGATTTGAGAAAGGGTATGAGAAAGGGCAGTGTCTCTAGCAGCCCACAGCACGGATTTCCTCAGGGCGCGGGGTCTAAGTCCCAGCCTGCTATTCACCAGGGCCCCTGATGGTGGGGATGGACTTGGTGCAGACTGGAACCAGGTCGCGACCTCTGAGTGCGTCCGGCTGTGGTAGAGAGTACTGGCAGGGGAGTGCAGCAGGAACGGAGTCTGATGGGAAGAGGCAGGCAGACTTACTAAAGGTGATCCGTGCGGGATGGATGGATCGTCGGGTGAAGTAAGCGTAGTCAGACAGGCCGGGTTGGTATCGTGAGGGCAGCGTGGTAAAGGAGGAGCAAGCAGAGAATGGTCGGGGTCACAAGCCAGGTTCAGCAGGTAGCGGGCAGCGCGGTACCGAGGATCAGGCAGAAGGATGGTCAGGCAAGCCAGGGGTTCAACAGGAGACGGTCAGTAGAGGTCAGGATCAAAGCAGGGTCAGCAACAAGGCAGGGACACAGGATACCAGGTACAGGGGCTCATGGGAAACATACACCAAGGCCCTGATCACAGGCCTGGTCATTCCTTAAATACACTTCCTGCAATCAGCTTCAGGTGTTGGCCGACTGCAGGAGTGAGCTTCTGGCTGCTGAGAGCACCCGCTGGTCAGCCCTGGTACTGCAGCCCACACGGCAGGTGAGTCCTACCACCAGTGCTGAGTCCATTCCTGACAGTACCCCCCCCCCCCCCCTCAAGGAGCGGCCTCAGGACGCTCCAAACAGTCCTTAGTGGGCAAAATGTTCCACCGCCCAGGTCAGGTAACTGGCTGGATATCTTACTGCCGGAGTCAACCGGCTGGCTGGGTTTCCTGCTGGCAGACTTCTCTTTATGTAGGGGAACCCAGGAAGGCAGGTCGCTGGAGCAGGCTGGGAATCAGTTATTGGCCAGTTTAGCTGGACATCAGGGGCTGGCACATCAGGCTGCGCAGCAGACAGAGGCACATCGGGCTGGGCAGCGGGCAGAAGCACGTCAGGCTGGGCAGCGGGCAGAGGCACGTCAGGCTGGGCAGCGGGCAGAGGCACGGCAGGCTGGGCAGCGGGCAGAGGCACGTCAGGCTGGGCAGCGGGCAGAGGCACGACAGCGGGCACCGACTCATTTGGCACAACAGCAGACACCGAGTCATCGGGCACAACAGCGGGCACCGAGTCATCGGGCAAGTCAGCAGGCACCGAGTCATCGGGCAAGTCAGCGGGCACCGAGTCACCAGGCACATCAGCAGGCACCGAGCCATCTAGCAGAACCGCAGGCACCGGGTCACCAAGCTCGACAGCGGGCACCGAGTCATCTGGCACGACAGCGGGCACCGAGTCATCTGGCACGACAGCGGGCACCGAGTCATCTGGCACGACAGCGGGCACCAAGTCATCTGGCACGACAGCGGGCACCGAGTCATCTGGCACGACAGCGGGCACCGAGTCATCTGGCACGACAGCGGGCAACGAGTCATCTGGCAGAACAGCGGGCACCGAGTCACCAAGCTTGACAGCGGGCACCGAGTCATCTGGCTGGATCGGGTCATCAGGCCGGATCGTCATCGGGCATCAGGGCATCAGGCTGGACAACGGAAGGCAGGTCCTCAGACAGCAGGCTGACCGGTTTGGATACTGGTAGGATGGTACTGGTTGGAAAGAATTTTTGCTTCTTCTTGGGTTTAGTTTCTGGAGCACTGTAAGTGAATGCAGGTCTGTAAACGGATGGAGCAGCTGAAGACAGGGAAGAGCCGGAGGATGGAACAAAAGGAGGGAGCAGTTGCTACAGAGGGCTTCTTTACAGGGTAAAAGGCAGGATAGGTGCAGCGAGTGGGTGCAGGGGACTGACATGTGGTAGCTAGCAGGGTATACTGGGCTGTCACTGGGGGTGCTGTGGGAACTGGAGGAAGAGAGCTTTGAGCAGAGTAATGGTTAGAAGCAGGACTGGGTTGTTGCAAGCTGACTGAGGCTGGATGTAACAAATCCGACCATGTCTGCAGTACTGGCTGAACAAAGCTCAGCTTACACAAAGCCCGTCTGGTCAAAGACTGCACTGCGTTTATACAATCCCTAAGCACCTGTTGTGAACATGCAGAATAATGCTTCAAGAAGCAATCCACATCATCCTCTAATAACCATACCAGGGACTCTACATGGTCTGCACTAAATGGTGGCAAAAAGTCATCCCTTCCCTCAGGGGCACCAACGAAGCCACTCTCACAAACCTGAATCAACTGGCTGCACTCAGAGAACTCTGTGCCCTGATCCACTAGAAAATGAGCGATCCGTATGCATTCTAGCAGCTGATCCCTGGTATACTCCTGCAGAGTCTCATAGGCATAATCTCTGTCATCAAAGACTAGCAGACACAAATATACAACATCCTCAGGATGCATCCTTCACAACAATAAGCCAAGATGGCTTCCCTGTGCAGCCACTTCTGGTCAGGACTGGCCTTGGTGTTCTGTTAGAGATCCGGGTATGACCAGAAATGTGTGGACTGACACAGGGAAGTAGCAGGCTTCAGGAACACAGGCGTAGTCAGGCTGGAGAGGTGGAATGGTCAGGCAGGCCGTAAGGTACTGTCAGGTGCCGCCTGGCAGTGTCTCTAGCAGGCCACAGCACGGATTTCCTCAGGGCACGGCGTCTAAGTCCCAGCCTGCTATTCACCAGGGCCCCTGATAGTGGGGATGGACTTGGTGCAGACTGGAACCAGGTCGCGACCCCTGAGTGCGTCCGGCTGTGGTAGAGCGTACTGGCAGGGGAGTGCAGGAACAGAGTCTGATGGGAAGAGGCAGGCAGACTTACTAAAGGTGATCCGTGCGGGATGGATGGATCGTCGGGTGAAGTAAGTGTAGTCAGACAGGCCAGGTCGGTATCGTGCGGGCAGCGTGGTACAGGAGGAGCAAGCAGAGAATGGTCGGGGTCACAAGCCAGGTTCAGCAGGTAGCGGGCAGCGTGGTACTGAGGATCAGGCAGAAGGATGGTCAGGCAAGCCAGGGGTTCAACAGGAGACGGTCAGTAGAGGTCAGGATCAAAGCAGGGTCAGCAACGAGGCAGGAACACAGGATACCAGATACAGGGGCTCATGGGAAACATACACCAAGGCCCTGATCACAGGCCTGGTCATTCCTTAAATACACTTCCTGCAATCAGCTTCAGGTGTTGGCCGACTGCAGGAGTGAGCTTCTGGCTGCTGAGAGCACCCGCTGGTCAGCCCTGGTACTGCAGCCCACACGGCAGGTGAGTCCCACCACCAGTGCTGAGTCCATTCCTGACAGTATGTCAGCTTGTGACAGAAATAATCTGTTAGCAACCACCTGGCGGTGCCTCTAGCAGGCCACGGGACAGGATTCCCCAGAGCACGGAGTCTAAGCCCCAGTCTGCTTGTTTACCAGGGCCCCTGATGGTGGGGATGGACTTGGGGCAGACAGGAACCAGGTCGCAGCCCCTGAGTACACCTGCCTAAGGTAGAGGAATCCGCCGGGGGTCTATGCAGGTGGAAAGCTTGACGTGAAGAGGCAGAAGGTGGAAGCAGGGATGGCTGGATCCTGCCGGATGGATGAGCTTGGTCAAACGGGCCGGGTTGGAAACAGTGGGGTCAGCGTAGTACAAGGAAGCATGCAGAAGAATAGTCAGGTCACTCACTGGGGTCGGTACCAGTAGTTCAGATCAGGTTTAGGAATATCCAGAAGAGAGGTCAAACTAGCCAGGGGTCAGAGCAGGAGAAGTCAGCAGAGGTCGGGTTCAGGCAAAGTCAGCAACGAATCTCAAATAACAGGAACACAGGAATAAAGACCATACGGCAATGAGTGTAAGTGCAGGGCAGGTTTAAATAGTGTGCCCTGCCATTGGTGCCAGGCGAGCGTCCGCGAGTGCGCATGCGTGGCCGCCGCTGTCCAGGTCCTAGTGTCCGCCAGCTAGTATAGATCGGCGCTCTGCGCATGCGCGGAGCCACTCGTAGCCGCGATCCCTGACATAATCCAACCTAGAATATTTAGCATGTGAAGCAGAGAAAAGGTGTAATCTTTTAACTTTGGGTGTAGAACACACCATTAATCATGCACATGTAAATTTTGAAGTTGTTTGTTAATTTGGCAGAGTGCACAGAAGGGCATTGTTGAATTTCTGGATGAAGAGTTCAAGAGTGGGTTCAGCGGAACAATAAAATCTCTGAGAATCCAACATTCCCGTGATGAATTCCGCTAACTTCTCCAAACCGGCGAAAAAAATGTGACCTGATCACTATTGAGGCTATAAATGTTAGCAATGGTATAGGACAGGACACAAGCAAGCCCTTTACAAACAAGTATCGACCTTCAGGGTTTGCTTTAGTCTGTTACCTGGAAGAAGACCTACCTCAAGATCAGGATTGAGACTCCTTTTGTTTTGGATACAGCAGATGTAGCATGGGACGCTGTGGTGTAGTGTTTATTAGTAAATTTAGGTGTGTGTCCTGTTTTAAAAATGCACCTTTTGAACAATCACTACCTGGGCCTTCAGTCTTCCAAATTCTTGCAAAAACTTAGAGCATTTCTCTGGTATATTTAAGCCATGGGCGCTTACCGATTATAAATTTTAGGGATACAGATGTATCCGTAGGAGGTTGAACACTCAGAGTAAGAAGGAAGCTGAGTAAAAAAAAAAAAAATAAATAAAAGGTGGGGGGGTTGAAAAAAAGAACAATCAAAATGAATGAAGGACGCTGGAGAGAATGGGCAGAAAAAGACAGTGAAGACAGAAACTATACTGGGGGCAGAGCTAGATCAGCTAACTCGTCAGCTATAAAAAAGAAAAAGAAAAGTCCTTAAAAGGTCAGCAAGACTCTGGGGAGTCTGCTGGGTGGGTTTGTGGAGAAGTGGGTTTGACTGAAAAACCAGGCCAACATGTTTTGTGGCACTCAAATGCAAAAGTAGTATAGTGGGCATGAAACATCAAAATCTGAAACAAGTTTTACAACTCTATATGCATCATATACAACATCATAAACATCAACAACATCAGGACCAGAGCTTACTATGAGGAAAAGTATAAGATGGTGGAGGTCAAGTAACTATCAGGATTCCCTTACCTGAGTGAATCACCATCAGAGTTTGTTAGTATATCCAAATGGAGTATCGGTAGCGTACGTTAGGACTGTGAATAGGGGAATACAAGCCACCTATGAATCTAAAAATCTGGGAGCTAGCAGATAAATCCTGGGAGAGCTACAGGAACCAGGAAAAAGGCAAGGGGATGGCAAGTTCTCAATCTTAATAACAGAGGATAACCAAATGGTCTACCCTCAAGCAAAACGTCCGGAGCTGATAATTAAAATTCTCAATATGCTCCTCCTGCCCTTCAATTCCGCAATATGAGTCCACAAATCGATTGGGAGGAGGAAACTTAAGGAGCTGAGTAGAATGCAGCGTTGGAATGTACTCATAGGTATACTGAAAGAGAAAAGCACAGCTCATATGTCCAAACATTCTCTGTGATGAGAGGGCAAGTGACCTGGACTTCCAGGAACAGCTGCTCATTGATGGGAATGATCTGGGGTGGAGGCTGGTTGTTAGCGGCATCTTCGATTACGTTGCTGCTGGGCTTTTGGGGTGTTTTTGGTCGTGACTGCCAGCCAATGTCTATGTAGAATTTGCTGTACCACTCAGGGACCTCCACTAGGGGAATATCCAGTGCTTCACAAAATAGCTGGAGATCTGTTACTCGTAAGGAGGAAGAGAGGACTTTTATGGTGGCATATAAACAGAAAGGAAAGCTCCATCTATATGTAATGCCTCTAGAGCAGAGAAGTTCCAGCAGGGGACGCAGGGTTCGGCAGTGTTGTATGGTTATGCTAGATAAGTCCTGAAAGAGCTTGATTTCAGTGCCATTAAAGAGAATTTGATATTTTCCCCTTGCCTTGCGTAGAATTGCCTCTTTAAGTGGGAAACTGACCAGGCAGCATATTATGTCCTGTGGAGGATCTGAGTGTATTTCTTTTGGTCTGAGGGCTCTGTGAGCTCTTTCACAATCAATTGGTGTGTCAGCAGGCCAGCCCATTAGGTCATTGAAGATGGAAGTTATAGCTGGTTCTATGGCTTGGTGTTCCACTGACCCTGGGGAGACCACGTACCCTGATATTATGCTGTCCAGAGGTCCTTAAGGTGCCTATGCATTTCAATGAGGTGAGTAATATGTGAGTCCAAAGTGTGCTGTAACTATTTAATGGTGGCAAGGTGTAATGTGATTGTTTTCTCAGTTTCACTCAGCTTTGCAACCACAGACTGTAGGTCTGTACAGAGCTCAAATTTTGCTGCCCCTACAGGGTCAATTTAATATCAGCTGCCACAAAGTGGAGGTCAGAGAGGCTAAGGGGATGTGATGAAGTGCCACCCCTTTTGTTCACTCATCCCTGCTGTCATTTCCGCTTCGATACGCCTCAGTATCAGAAGATCTTTGCTTTGAGCAGTACCACATCTTATCTGTCTAACTTCATTGAATTTACCAGTATTCACTATGGTTTATGGGCACCAACATTGCTAGCAGGAGACAATGGGAAGACAATGGACA